GTATTTACACTGACAAAACAGTATAAAATTACTGCACAATATTATAAATAAAAGGTAGTTAGGCAATGCTCCTAAGAAACAAACAATAAGTGTCTAAAATAGTTTTATATTACTCAGGAGGAAGAGAAACAATTGAGAAACAGCCTTATTGAACACTGCTCACCTTCCAGCAAGATACTGACAGTACCTGCTAAACTGAGGACAATCACAAATTGGTAAATAAAATAAATACACATATGATCACAAACAGAGAGAGATCACAGTCAGCAGGATTCAAACCCACTACAGAAAGACTGATAAGATTCCCAAATGAAGCTGTAGTGGGTTTGAATCCTGCTGACTGTGATCTTTCTCTGTATATACCCGCCTGTTTCTGCGTGGTGCACTGATATGATCACATATACATGATTTTAAAAACATATGCATAAATATGTAATAGAAATATGGTACATGGTTGTGTTTTTTCAAATTTGATATTTTCAATATACAAGAGATAATGAATGAATTTTATATATCATAAAACTAAAATGGATTTTGGTTTGCAACTTGTTTTAATTACTGTACTTCACAGCCATTTACTAAAATTTTAAACCTTTCAATTACAAGAAATGTGAATCTACACAAATTACAGATGGTGTACAAATCTTTCAAAACAAAAGTGCAAATTACAACCTGGATACTTCTTCAATAGTAAGCAGTGAAATTTCCAGAAATATCTTGTGTTTTATGCAACATAATGCTAGTTTACGTCTCAATGTAACTAACTAATATGTCTCAGCAATGTAACCTACTAATGAATATGCCACAGCTATATTACTGACTAATGAATACCAATGTACAAATTTAGGATGGTAAAGGGTTGTATATAGTCTTGAGTTTTCTGAAGGAAGTTATGAGTAATCATATTTCATTGGGTCTGTGACTATCTACTAATCATTTTAGAACAATTTATATTAATACCGGACTAGTAAATTTTAAGTACTATACAATAGTTAGATCCTTAAAACTATTTACATTTTATAATTTAGAAAATATCATTATGCAACCTTATAATTCATGGAAGAAAATGTACCAACTAATTTGTACATCTTTGTGATAATGTCAAAACTTTTCCTTGTTACAGCCACTCTAAGATTGTGAGTACTTACAATAGTGTACAACAAGCGACTTATACCCATTAACCTCACTCCTATCCCACATAGGTAGTCTTAATGCAGTACATGAAGTCTGACCAAACAACACAGTACATGAAGTCTGGCCAAACAACACAGTACATGAAGTCTGACCAAACAACACAGTACATGAAGCCTGACCAAACAACACAGTACATGAAGCCTGACCAAACACAGTACATGAAGCCTGACCAAACAACACAGTACATGAAGCCTGACCAAACAACACAGTACATGAAGCCTGACCAAACAACACAGTACATGAAGCCTGACCAAACAACACAGTACATGAAGCCTGACCAAACAACACAGTACATGAAGCCTGACCAAACAACACAGTACATGAAGCCTGGCCAAACAACACAGTACATGAAGCCTGACCACACAACACAGTACATGAAGTCTGATCAAACAACACAGTACATGAAGCCTGACCAAACAACACAGTACATGAAGCCTGACCAAACAACACAGTACATGAAGCCTGGCCAAACAACACAGTACATGAAGTCTGATCAAACAACACAGTATATGAAGTCTGATCAAACAACACAGTACATGAAGTCTGATCAAACAACACAGTACATGAAGCCTGACCAAACAACACAGTACATGAAGCCTGATCAAACAACACAGTACATGAAGCCTGAGCAAACAAAATTAATTTGTAACAAAACATTTTTCAAAGATTATAAATGAAAATGCAATATAACTGTTTATTCTTCATGGTTGTTCTTCCTCATGGCATTCATAAAATTCTAACTTCATTTAAAAAAATAATGTTTTTTTTTTTGGAAATGTAATTCAAATACTGTACTCTCCCGTACTTGCTGTTCTTCATAAAAAACAATGCGGGTGTTACTCTTCATTAAACATCACCCTCTAACACCACATCTCCAGGCACATATTTTATTTGCTGCATACTTTAATTAAATACAAACAGAATACAAAAGATTAGAAAAAAATTATACAAACGTACGATTCTGCCTTATATGTTCTTGCATTTACCATAAACTTGAATCAGTAACCTGGTCAAGTTACAATTGTGACACACCTAAGGCATTCATTTCCATGTTTTTAAAAGCAAACAGAAGAAAGAAAAAACTTTAAAAGTTACCTGGAGATATATGGATGATCACTGTTTTACCTGGTCAACATAGGTGATGTTTAGTATGAGTACCTAATTACATGTGGTGGTGCAGCGGCAGCGCACCGTCTCCTCAGTACTGCAATCACCACATGGAACGATACTAAAAGAGCTCACCAATGGGCGCATTCTGGAGCCAGAGATCGTGTAAGAAGTTGTACAATTCGTCTGTAACTCCAACCTAGAAAGAAAATAACACATACTGTAAATTGTAAAGATTATAAAATTAATACAAAAATTCTTCATGTTGATAAGTCAGAATAATAATCAAATTAAGATATTATTACAACATTTAATTAGACATTAAACAGCAAGCATAATATTTAAACATATTTTTAGCTACAAAAATAATTTATGGAGTTAAAAATGCAAATTAAAGCTGCTAATAAACCAGAGAATAAATGCTGTACATCTATTTGCACATGGGGATGAGTTGTCACATTAGTCCAGATGTACAAAAGTTGTGACCATCTCTACTTTGTTTCCCATTGTCATGGTGTGGGAAGACATCAGTCAGGTAAGGTTGCAATGTACCAGCATTAGAGAAGAAGTACGTCATGGTGTGGGAAGGCACCAGTCAGGTAAGGTTGCAATGTACCAGCATTAGAGAAGAATCACATCATGGTGTGGGAAGGCACCAGTCAGGTAAGGTTGCAATGTACCAGCATTAGAGAAGAAGTATGTCATGGTGTGGGAAGGCACCAGTCAGGTAAGGTTGCAATGTACCAGCATTAGAGAAGAATCATGTCTTGGTGTGGGAAGGCACCAGTCAGGTAAGGCTGTAATATACCAGCATTAGACAAGAATCATGTCATGGTGTGGTAAGGCACCAGTCAGGCAAGGTTGTAATGTGCAAGCATTAGAGAAGAATCATGTCATGGTGTGGGAAGGCACCAGTCAGGTAAAGTTGTAATGTATAAGCACTAGAGAAGAAGTATGTCATGGTGTGGGAAGGCACCAGTCAGGTAAGGTTGTAATGTATAAGCACTAGAGAAGAAGTATGTCATGGTGTGGGAAGGCACCAGTCAGGTAAGGTTATACTGTACCAGCATTAGAGAAGTATGTCATGGTGTGGGAGAGCATTTTTCAAAAGAGAATGTACTAGCAATAAAGCTGAGGTATTTTCAAATGCCCAGTGACATTTGACCTTTCATACAACTTTCAACACACCTTAATCAGCATTTTGGGAAATGTGTGCAGCTATATTAGCACCATATCCATAGTCATACCTAAATCACAAAAAAAAAAAAAGTTTAAATCACTAATTTCTTCCTAACAAGCAGTTTCCTCACACTCAATCAGGTTAAGCTCCAACAAGCCTCACCACTAACTAGAATGGTGACCATATTTACAGAGACTTGCCCTTGGTAAAGGGGTACCTCAGTATTAACCAAATGTTTGTTATCTTCCATATTTGCCATGAATTTTTGCTTAATACTTTAACCGACTCATTTTTTTAACACACTGGCTATCTTCCACCAAGATAGACCCAGAAAAAAAAAAATAGACATTCACTGAATGAGTGGTTTTGAATATGTATCACTTTTTATTTTTGTCACCCTAATTTGGTGGGTGATAGCCAGTGTTAGAATCGTAATATTGCATTATGTCATTATTCTAGCACTATACAGTGGACCCCCGGTTAACGATTTTAATCCGTGCAAGAGGGGTAATTGTTATGCGAAATAATCGTTATGTGAATGAATTTTCCCCATAAGAAATAATGGAAATAAAATTAATCCGTGCAAGACACCCAAAAGTATGAAAAAAAAAATTTTACCACATGAAATATACATTTTCCCACACACAAAGAGAAGGATACATGCACAATAGTAGAGTAGTACATGCACAGTATATATTGTGCATGTACTACTCTACTAAATGAAGAATAAATGACACTTACCTTTATTGAAGAAAGCAGCAATGACTGATGAGACACTGTGTCCTGGGAGTGCCTTTTCCTCCTGAGTACTGTAGGTCCTGTTTGGCATTTTCTTCCAGAACAGGCCTTATCACACTGTGTATGCCACTACGATTCTTAAATCTCTCAAACCAACCTTTGCTTGGGTTTAAATTCAACAATATGAGCACTAGTTTTCCCGGCATTTTTCCCTGTTCACCTGGGTGTTAGTCGACTTGTGTGGGTTGCATCCTGGGAGATAAGATTAAGGACCCCAATGGAAATAAGTTAGACAGTCTTCGATGACACTGACTTTTTTTGGTTATCCTGGGTGGCAAATCCTCGGGGGTTAATTGTTTCTTGGTATTCTCAATAAGCCACACCAACAACGGTGCTACAGCAGCAGCAGCAGCTGACAGTGCAGCAGCAGCAGCAGCAGCAGCAGCTGACAGTGCAGCAGCAGCAGCAGCTGTACCACCAATAGTAGCGATGGTTGATTGGGTTTATTATACAACCTGGCCAGCTCGGAGACATGCACTCCACTTTCATACTTATCAATGATCTTTTTCTTCATCTCTATTGTAATTCTCACCCTTATTGCTGTAGGGTTGGCACTAGAAGCTTTCTTGGGGCCCATGGTCACTTATTTTCCAGAAAAAGCACCGAAAACACTGTAATAATACGAAATATTCCGATTGTATGCTTGGATGTTACCGCGGAGGCTGGCTGGTAAACAATGCCACCGGCGGAACATGTGAGCGCGTCTCGGAAGAAAATCGGTAAGCGGGTTTTTAAGCGGTATGTGAGGCAAAATTTTTGCAATTAAAGTAAGCGGTATGCGAAATAATCGCTATGTGATGCCATCGTTATGCGGGGGTCCACTGTATGATGAAAAACAAAATAACAAGTGAGAGACTGTGTTCAGCAAAATAGTGTTGTTTCAAGCACAATGACACCACAAGACAAAGATTGGGGCCAGGAGCTGCAAATCAACCCCTGCAATCACAAATAGGTGAGTACAGGCAACACAATACAGTGGAGCCCTGGTTTACGATCAGCTCCCAATGCGACCAATTATGTAAGTGTATTTATGTAAGTGCGTTTGTATGTGTATGTTTGGGGGTCTGAAATGGACTAATCTAATTCACAATATTCCTTATGGGAACATATTCGGTCAGTACTGGCACCTGAACATACTTCTGGAATGAAATAATATCGTAAACCGGGGGTCCACTGTAATGTGGCAATTTGTAATCTTGCTAGCCTTCATTGTAACATTTATTATGCCAGATACTGCTCTACATGTTACATACGTATATTCAAGTATGTGTTCCTTGGAAAAGGACATCTGCTAGTCATTGGTGAGTATTCATTTTACAATTTTGTATTTTATTTTATGGATAATGGTCAATAACATTTACTCTTTCATATGAATATTTCAAAATTTCTTCATTTTGGTATGCTTCAAGTCCTGAAATAAAAATGTAAATGTAAGCTGTGAAAATACATATTCTTAACACGTAAACGGTCCAAGCAGATCTACATTCACATGTGTAGTGCTACAAAAGTAGATCTAAGTTTTTTACATATTTTCAAATATAACAAAAAAGTAGATCATTTTTATTTACACATTTTCAAATGTAGAAAAACAAAAAGACTCGTTTTTACATATTTTCAAATTTTAAAAAACTATAGTATATACTTTTGGCCCGTTTAGGTTTTTGGGAGCATATTTTATTATTTTTTTTGCACGCTTTTGAAAATTTTGAGCATTTCCCTCTTACCCTTTTAACACTTTTACTGTCTGTCAAAATTATGTAACTGAAGCCGGGGGCCCTGATGTGTTCTGGGCCATAAATCATTTTCACGCGAAAACGTAATGTAAATTTTGGCAAAAATATGGGAAGGATCTGTCGTTAAAAGTTGCCCCAAATAAAAAAAAAATCTGCCCCAGCGGTGTATGAGGGGAAAAAAACAAAAGGAAGTGTGTAGGGTTTGAAATAAAAATTTTTGCAGTTCTTCTTGGAGGTTTTTTAGGGTTTTTTATTGGCTGTTTCTTGGTTTTATCTGTAAAATGGATACATTCACGAAATAGAGATGATTTTGATTGGTTTTAGAAAGAAAGTAGTTTTAAATTTAGCTCAAAGAAACAAAAATTTGATTTTGCCAATATTTCAGAGTGGGAAGGGATCCCATAACCTTCATCGTTTTTTTGGGTTTTTAAAAGTCTGATTTATTATTAGACACTGAAACCATAAACAATCTCTCCTGGGTTTTATTTTATTTCTATGAAATAGATAAAACCTTTTTTTTTGCGAATAAGAAAAAAAAACGGAAAGCAAGTTAATATACGAAGGGCCCGGGGATGGGCAAAAGAATAGAGGAAAAATTTTTTTTTAGTGCCAGGAATTCTACATTGTTTTATTTTGGGGGAAATTTACACGTTACTTTTTGCTGATGAATTTCTTTTTGGAGATTCTAAAGAAAAATTGCAAAAGGTTGGGATATTTTGGGATGGTGTAAAGGGAGAAAGTTTAAAGTGAACATAGAAAAGAGTAAGTGATGAGGTGTAAAAAATTTTGATAAAAAAAAATTGGGTATCAAAAATTGGGAGGAGGGGTGGAAAAGTGAATGTTTTAATATTGGGAGTTGACGTGTCGGCGGATGGATTTATGAAGGATGAGGTTAATCATAGAATTGATGAGGGAAAAAAAGGTGAGTGGTGCGTTGAGGTATATGTGGAGTCAAAAACGTTATCTATGGAGGCAAAGAAGGGAATTTTATGAAAGTATAGTAGTACCAACACTCTTATATGGGTGTGAAGCTTGGGGTGGTAAATGCAGCAGCGAGGAGACGGTTGGAGGCAGCGGAGATGTCCTGTTTAAGGGCAATGTGTGGTGTAAATATATGCAGAAAAATTCGAGTGTGGAAATTGGGAGAAGGGTGTGGAGTTAATAAAAGTTTAGTCAGAGGGCAGAAGAGGGTTGTTGAGGTGGTTTGGTCATTTAGAGAGAATGGATCACAGTAGAATGACATGGAAAGCATTAAATCTATGGGGGAAAGGGGAAGGCGGGGTAGGGGCCCGTCCTCGAAAGGGTTGGAGAGAGGGGTAAAGGAGGTTTTGTGGGTAAGGGGTTTGGACTTCCAGCAAGCGGCGTGAGCGTGTTAGATAGAGTGAATGGGGGACCGATGGTACTTGGGACCTGATGATCTGTTGGATTTGTGAGCAGGGTAATATTTAGTGAAGGGATTCAGGGAAACCGGTTATTTTCATATAGTCG